CAGGTGAATCATACCACACAGGGATGCAAATGAATGAGCAACAGCTAAGTGCCACAATGCACAGGAATCCTACACATACAATGTTGAGGAAAAGAAGTATAAAATAGAAATCCATATAACATAATTGTGTTCAGATAAAGTTCAAAAACAAGCAAAATTTAAAAGCAATATTTGAGGATACACATTTGGAATGAAAAAGAAGATAAAAACTGGGTAGAAGCACAGGAAGCAATTACCAACAAATCTGGGGTAATGATCAATATTGTCACACAATCCAACTCAGATGTGGTGGACGTAAGGCTGATTGAAGTAGCTACTCTGAGTCATGAAAGTCAGAACAATAACTGTTTTACGTGAGCTTAACAGAAGTTCAGTTGGAGAGGGTTGAGAAATATAGGATGAGACTCACAACTAGATGAATCCCTGGCACATGGGAGACATTTGAATATCAAAGGCTCTCTAAACAGGTATTTTGAACTTTTAAAAGATTGCTAAATATGGGTGGCACCTGTGGCTCAGTGAGTAGGGTGCTGGCCCCATATACCGAGGGTGGTGGGTTCAAACTCATCCCTGGCCAAACTGCAACAACAATAACAAAATAGCCGGGTGTTGTGGTGGGCACCTGTAGTCCCAGCTACTTGGGAGGCTGAGGCAAGAGAATCGTCTAATATAATGCCTAAGCCCAGGAGTTGGACGTTGCTGTGAGCTGTGATGCCACAGCACTCTACTGAGGGTGATAACGTGAGATTCTGTCACTTAAAAAAAAATTGCTAAATATAAAGACATATAGAAAAGAATGATGAGAACAAATACGTAGCTTAATAAATCACTATAGTGAACATTCATGTTTCTAGACAAAAGTAAAACATTGCCAGCAATCCAGAACCCCCTGCCCGTGTCCCCCCACCTTTTTTTTTTTTTTTTGAGACAGAGCCTCAAGCTATCCCCCTGGGTAGAGTGCTGTGGCATTACAGCTCACAGCAACCTCCAACTCCTGGGCTCAAGCGAGTCTCCTGCCTCCGCCTCCCAAGTAGCTGGGACCACAGGCGCCCGCCACAACGCCTGGCTATTTTTTGGTTGCGGCCGTCATTGTTGTTTGGCGGGTCCGGGCTGGGGATTTGAACCCACCACCTTAGGTGTACATGGCTGGCGCCTTAGCCGGTTGAGCTATAGGAGCCGAGCCTCCCCCACCTTTTTAAAATCATAACATCTCTCTCTAGTTGCAACCACTTTCTCAGATTTATCGGTAATTACTTCCTGTTCTGTTTTTTTTTTCTCCTTTCTAAATACGTATCCCTGAATCATGCTGTTTTATTTTGCTTATTTTTGACCTTTATACAATTATACTATATGGACTCTTCTGTTTGATACCTCTTACTCAACATTGTATTTTTAGGATTCATCCATATTATTGCATGCAGCTGTGGTTCCCTCATTTTCATCCCTGTATGGTATTCCAGGGTATGAGAACACCCCAATTCATTTATCCTTTCTACTACTAATGAGCATGGAGTTTGTTTCTTGTTCGGGGTTTAATATAAAAATGCCCAATGGATATTCTTGTGCCTGTGTCCTGGTACACACATGACTGAGTTTCTCTTGGGTATATTCCTAAGAGTGGAAATTCTGGGTCACAGGGTATGTGAATCTTCCCTAGCTAATACCAAACTGTTCCGAAGTGGTTGTAGCAGTTTATACTCTTATAATAAAAGGTGTTCAATTAGAATTAGAATTGAGGCAAATTACCTCATTATTATTAACACATCTTTACTTGTTTTCCAAAGCAGTATCTTCTGGAGCCAAGTGCTTCCTTGGGGTAAGTTGTAACTCACTGTTTCTCCTTTCTAGAGTCAGGCTGACTCAGAGTTTCTGTCTCGGCAAGTTTGTTACCATTAAGTGGATCCCGGTTTCTTTTTTATGTTGCAAGTTTGCTTATTGTTTGCTAAGACTTGAGGGGGAACAAACACTCTTGTATCATTAGTATACACATGATTGTTACCTCTCAGGATGGGTCACCTCTGCAGATGGCTGATTTTTGTGTTTAGAGTAGCGCTGCATTTGGGCAATTGAGTGGAAGGCTAAGAAGCTGGATTGTCTGCGTTTGAATCCTTGCTCTTCACTTACTAGTTATGTGACCTTGATCAAGTTATTTCACCTCTCTAATCCTCAGAGTGTTCACCTGTAAAATGAGAATAATGACAGTACCTATACCTCACAGGGTAACTGTATGGGGATTAAATGAGATAATGCATGAAAAGTATGTATTAGGATGCAGAGCCTGGCATCCTATTGCTTTGATTTATATTCATTTTAGGTTTGGTGACAGTAGAGATCGTGGGTAATAAACATGTGTTATGAACATGAGTCAGATGGAATTCAAGTTCTGGCTGTACTCTGTCCTGGATATTTATTTGACCATGGGCAAGTCATATAATATCCCTACATCTCACTTCCTAGTCTGTATAAACTGAGGTCGTAGTTGCTACCTTTCACCTGTGTTGCAAAGAATAACTGAAGTGGCAAACATAAAATGCTGAGTGTTGAGTAGGGATGCAATACACGGTAGCTGCTGTCATTTTAGCCGGTGGCAGCTTCTATTCCTGCCCTGAGATGCTGGTGGTGAATAGCACATGGGCCTTAAAGCCATAGGTCCTACGCATGGTGGCTGAGGAGAGTGAAAAATGTGTGAAGAGTTAGAGTGGTGAGATGACAATGAGAATCACTCCCATTTCTGGGCAGGTCCTGGGCAGGGCATGTGTAACCTGAATGAGACCTAGTCCACTTTTTAGGGGCTCAGGTAGGTGGGTATCACAAGTAACACACAAATGCCGGTAACTAACAGGGCAGAATATGAGTAGTGTGTTGGAAGCAAGGTGCTTCAGTGGTCCTAGGGAGGAAATACCTAGTTTAGTGGTCTTCCTGGAGGAAAAAGTTTTAAAAGATGGGTCTCAACATATGTGCTTATAGATGGCAGAGGTTGTTGAAAATACTGGTCAGGAAGTCATAGCATGTTATGAAGAGCTTTGAATACCAGGCCAAGTAACTTTTCTTTAATTCAGTAAGGAATAGGAAGGCATTGTATTGTAAGATGGCTGTAAGACAGAAACTAGTCCGAAAGATGCCCAGGCATGCTGAGCCAACAAATAGTGGTTTAGAAACCCTACTAACTCTCCTCCTGGCACTGCCATTAAACTTTATCTGGTGCTTTTAGAACCTGATATTTGGAGAGAGAAATGCCTACGACGTTTTAATGCCAAATTATGTGTTTTCTAACATGTTTCCCCAAACCACTGCCAAAGTGGCTGGGGTTATTATCATAAACCTCACTGTATTACCTTATTATTGCCTATGAACTAGAGATAATTGACTGTGGAGATGACAAAATTGTATAGAACTAAATACAGGCAGACACAAATGAGTACAGATTTGAACAAGATTGGGAGATTGTAACACTGACAATATCCTGATCGTGACATTATTTTACAGTTTTGGAAGACATTCCCAGTAGGGAAAACTGAGCAAAATGAATAAAGGATTTCTCTATATCATTTTTTACAACGGCAAGCAACATGCATTAGTAAAAGTTATATTTTGTAGAAAATGTGCCTCCGTAAGTCACATTACACTTTCCTCAGCGGTCCATATTAAGGGATTCCTGGGGCACAAAATAGGAGGCATTATTTATTGTGAGGGCCCCACTGGAAAAGCTATCTAAATGCATAGAAGAAGGGTCCATCGTACAGGAATTGCTTGGCTACTTTTAGCAAAATTTAAAATTATGATCACCCCAGACTTTGCAGTGCCATTAGGTTAACTTTATCCCTGTTTTCTGATTTGTCCACCGGGTCTACTGTATCACTTCTGCGTTGTCAACTCCAAGGTTAAAATTACTCTTTTATTATTGAAATGAAGTTTCTTAACAAAGAAATTGGTGACTTAAAGGTTCTGGATACAGCATAAAGTTTAGAAAGCTCTTAGCGGATCCCTTACTTTTGAAAACCAGAACCAGCAAAGATGAGCGAATGCAGTTCAAGTGACTACGAAGACGACAGTGCTAGCAGGGCAGGATCGTTTGAACTCTGTAATTATCCTTCTCCGCCGTGTAAAAGGTCTTCCCTTCCCCACAGCCGGACGGACTTCGACTTGAGCGAGAGCTGTGAACTTTTATAAAAGTGAAAGGGAAGAGGGAAAGAAATGGCAGCCTGGGAATCTGGCCCGGGGAAGGCGTCCACTGCGCTGGAATACCACCACCTGAATTTTCAGAAAAGAAACTTCTCTTTCCCACACTTGTAGACCTCCGTGAGTACCGGAGCGCTCAGTGCGGCCGCTCGGGCTTCCGCTTCGGATTAAGGAAACTGAGGCACGGCAGGCGCAGCGCCCTCCCTCAAGAGGGAACCCAGGCTTCCACAGCTCTTCGCGCGGGCGCAGGCACCTCCAAGCCACCCTGCTCACGTCCGCCCCGCCCTGGCTCGGGACAAAGCCCGGAGCCCGCGCCGGGAGGAGGAGGGCGGCTCCCTCGCGCGCCGCGCTCCCCCCGTGGGCGCGAGACTCCGCCCCGCCACCCCTCCTGGGGGAGCCGGTGCCCCAACAGTGAAGCGGCCCAGCCGGGCCCGCCCCGAATCCCCATGACGTCACCGGCGGCAGCAGGCCCCGCCCCCGGCCCCGGGCGGCAGGCCGCATGACGTCACCGAGGCCCCACCCCTCCGGAGCGAGTTCGGTCCCGGCGTTCATTTCATTCCTGTCCTCATTCCGAACATTCTTAGCATCGCTCGCGCCGCGCCGCGCCGCCCGAGCCGAGCCGAGCCTCTGCCGCCGCCGCCGCGGCCCCGCCGCCCGCCGCGGGCGCCCACCAAGCACTTTGCAGACTCGCTTCCACCCTGCGGGCCATTCCGCGCGGCGGGGCCCGGGCCCGGGGCGGCGCGTCGGGGGACAGGCCATGCAGTGACGCCCCCCCCACCCCCTCCACCTTTGCCCAGAGCGCGGGCAGTAGCCCAGCGCGCCCAGCCGGCCCGGGGCAAGAGAGGTGCTAGGCAGGGGTGGGGTGGCCCGGCCCGGGGACCGGGAGCCGGGCACGGAGCAGAGGGCGGGGGAAGCGGCGCCGAAGTTTGCCTCGGACTCGCCGGGCGCAGCGGCGGCTCCCTTGGTTGCAGCTACTTGGGAGGCTGAGGCAGGAGA